TTTTTGCTCAACTAGCAAGACTATTAGAATGAAAAGTGTTATTGGATAACAGATTTTCAGACTAAGAATTTCAAAGTTTTTCTTTCTACTTCTTAACCACTACTATGAGCTTAAAGTGTTTTGTAGCGGGCCATTATAAAGACGCAGTCTGTTGAAAAATTCCAATTCAGTTTATGGCCTAATCTCACTGCACTTCACAAAATAAACATCCCAATTGAACCTGCTTATCAGAGCACTTATAGTTCAATTTATTTTGCCAATTAGTTAAAGGTTTTCTATGTAAGGATTATGTGACATGCTAACAAAATAACACACTTGAACACTTAAAAAAGTTTATACACCAAAAAGTTACCTCTAGGAAGCTGAAAACATGCATGATGAACCGAAGAATGACTCATCTGTTTCTAAAGCATGATCTTCAGATCAGGTTATTCTAAAGTTGAACATTTAACAGTCTTGACACTTCTTTTGTCCTCCACTTTCTTCATTTTTTTCTAAACACATTGCGCAATACACTGTCATGGTCACATACAGGTAAAATTCAAAGAGATTCATTTAAATGTTGATTCATCCACCTAACCTCTACCATATGGAGGTGTTATCAAACTTTTGCACAGTTTTCTGGTTCGGATCGCTGCTCTAAAACAAGAATTGCAGAACAGAAGAACCTATCAAACCTCAAAAATGACAAGTTCGGGCATCAGTGATGCATGACAGTGATATGTAGTTCAGTGGCATTATTATACTGTCTAAAACAAACAGTAAGATGTTACCTGTCTGGATTATAAAGGCAGCACAGTAGGCCTTATAGAAAACTAACTAAATTGGAATCAGACCGCTCTGCAGACTGAATTAGAGGAAATAATCCTAAAAACATCTTTAAAAGATTATTTAAAAATTATCTAACAACAACAGCACTAATAAGGATGTTAAGACAGTCAAATTACTACTATTTAAAAAAAATCACTAAATAAAGGTTTTTATTTATTTGAACTTTATTGTCCTTTTCAACTCTTTGAGACATCAATGATGCCATTTCTGGTTCAGCATTCTTTAAATATCACAGATATCAACTGACGTTTATATATATATTCGTGATTATTATTATTATTATTATTATTATTATTATATTTGAATCCTGCTTTGCTCACACAAAGGCACAACCACAAGATTTCAGCCTTTGATTCATTTGTTTGTCCTTCAAGGTGTAATCACTTTTCACAAAGCTGTTGCTTCATTTATCAGAGATCAAAGCACTCCTTTATTTTTATGACAATAAGTGAGAAATTGATTTGATTGTTCTCATGCAGTAGAAGGCTTCGGCTGTCACACAGCAGTGAGATCATGAGGATCGACTGCTCCTCTCTTCGTCTGTCTCTCTGCAAATGTCACAGTATTGAACTGCTGCTAAACTATTTATTGTCTGTATTGACTCTAGATTAAATTAACGCTGATTTACTGACTGAGGAGAGTTCATTAATCTAGATTTCAGGATTGACTGATTACTGAAAACCACCTAGAAGCTCATAAGATGTTCAAGGTGTCAAAAGTTCATATTCTAGTGTTTACATGAAATGTCCTTAAGTGAGAAGTAGACAACAGCATGAAAATGATTGATATTAAGTTTCACTTTAGTTCCTTTTAGGTTTTCTGCTACTAGGAAAAACTCAGACTTTTCCGGATTAGGTAAATCTGTCATGTTGAAACAGAGATGTGTGTAGACGGAGAAGGAGAGCGTTACTCAAAACCAAGACTGTGTAACAACTGTGGCCTTTCTAATCCCTAAATCAATCATTTGAGGCCACTCCCGTCTTTACAGCTGTTTTAGACTCACACATGAAAAAGGCCAGTCCTAGCTTAGCTTGGTGCTGTCAGTATGTTGGCACCAGATGAAAGGTAGAGGAGCCTGAAATGGAAGCAATATTGAAACATATATCTGTCTGATATTAAAGTTTCTGAAATAGTTTTCTAACACACACCTGTGTACAGGCAATTAAATCTTATATGGTTGTAACAGATAACTGGACTATTTCTGCACCTCAGATCCAGTTTTTCCAGATGTCAACAACAACACATCTACAGGTGCTGGTCCTAAAATTAGAATATGATGACAAAGTTGATTAATTTCAGTGATTCCATTCAAAAATTCAAACTTGTATATTGGATGAATTCATTACACAGAGACTGATACATTTCATATGTTTATTTATTAACATATCTTTAAAAGGAGGATTAACCCCTTGAGATGAAACATCTCATTTTCAAGGTGGTCCTCCATTATTTTAAATCAAGAGTGAACAAAACAGCAGATCCATTTCTTTAATGTAGATGATTATAACTGACAACTAATGAAAATCCTAAATTCAGTACCTCAGACAATTAGAATATCAATTAAGATCATAGCTTTTCTATGGGGTTAAGGTCAGGCAAGTTTGCTGGCCAATCAAAAGCAGGGGTACCATGGCCCTTAAAGCAGGTACTGGTAGCGTTGGTACTGCGTGCAGGTGCCAAGTCCCATTGGAAAATGAAATCTGCATCTCCATAACGTTAGTCAGCAGCTGGAAGCAAGAAGAACTCCTTTTTCTACCACATCTTGTCCTTCCCTACACCTCTCTATTAATGTGCTTAGACACAGAGCTCCAGAAGCAGCCAGCCTTTTTAGCAATGGCCTTTTGTGTCTTGCCCTCCATGTGTAAGGTGTCAATGGTCGTCATTTCCACAACTGTCATATCAGCAGTCTTCCCTATGACAGTGTAGCCTACAGAACTAGACTGAGAAACCCCTTAAAGGCGTTTGCAGGTGTTTTTGAGATAATTAGCTAATAGAGTGTGGCACCAGGGATCTTCAATATTGAACCTTTTCGCAATATTCTAATATTTTGAGATACTGGATCTGGAATTTTCATTAGTTGTCAGTTTTAATCATAAAAATTAAAGAAATAAACATTTGAAATATATCAGTCTGTGTGTAATGAATTAATCTAATATACACGTTTCACTTCATGAATGGAATTTCTGGAATTAATCAACTTTGTCATATTTTAATTTTAGGACCAGCACCTGTATTCAGCCATCCTATTTCTGCTTAAAGAGCAAGTCACCCCCTACCAGATTCTTACTCAACTCCCACTTCCTGTATGAAAAATGCAACGAATGCTGTTGCCTGGCAGACCAAGAGGGCGGAGCCGCAAACACACACACACACACAGGCTTACAACGACATTGTGACATATGGTACCCACTAATGTTCTAGGGTACATCTTAGCCAATAGCGATGGCAGATTTTAATTCAAATGCAGTGCATTGTTTTTACCTGACAACGGCACAACACCGACAGTTTTAGGCAGAAAATTAAAATTTTAACTAAAATGCACTAAACTGCAAAACTATTGACTACACGTGTCTGCAGCACGATTAACACGCATTTATATAGTTTATCAGAAAAAAAGTAGATATGGGAGTGACTTGCTCTTTAATTAAGTGTAGTTGATCAGGTTCCTAGGAGTCAGGAAAACCAAGATGTTTAACTGACAGATTACAGTTCATACAAATATTCTTGCATCTAAAACATTAAAAATGGTTTATTGTCAAATGTTTGTTTTATTCAAATGCAAAACCAAACTTCAATATATTTTTGTTTCTCTAAAGACAAACTCCCACAAAGATAATTAAAGTATGTTTTTATTCAAAATACCTGATAAGTCTGGAAAACAACACATTGTTATAAATGTGGAGAATCAAACATGTTCTGGATTCATAACTTAGAGAAGGCTTGAAGTAACTAAGTGATGACTTTTTCAATAACTCGTCTTTTTACAATAGTCCTTTGCAACCTAATTCAACATTTTCTATGTTTCCATTACCATTTTAGTCTTAAGAAGTTAAATAAGACTACCCTTTCATTTCTGTGGCATGTGTGTCTGTGTTTGGTGGGGCATTGTACACTAAAGAGGTGTGTCAGTGTGTTTTTATTGCTCAATCCGGTTGGATGTTCGCTGACAGAAGCAGAAATGAAAGTGCAGTCTTCCACAAATTGAAAATTTTGGGCCACAAGAAGAATCACGAGTGCAGAAGTCTGCAACAGAAGTCAAGGTTTTCCTGTGTGGCCCACCCACCCATCCATTTTCCCTGTCTCTTATCCAAGTTGTCCAGACTCCAGACATCCCTCACCACATTGACACTATACAGCAGGGTTCTCGATCCTGGAGGGCCAGTATTCAGCACGTTTTAGTGGTTTCTCTGCTCCAACACACTTCAGTGGCTGAATCACATGTGAAGATCCATCCATCAGGCTCTACAGAAGCATGTTAAGTACCTGCTGATTGAAATCAGGCGTTTGAAACGGGGTTAAAACTAAAAAATGCTGGATACCGGCCCCCCAGGACCAGGATTGAGAACCACTGCCCTACAACAGTCTCAGATCAGAGAGTATAAATAATCCCTTTACAGCCCTAGGATCTCCTCCCAGTGCCTGAAAATCTACAGAGGCCAAGTGGCATGGCCCAACCATCTCAGATTACTTCTTTTGATGAGGAGCAACTCTACTCCGAGCTTGTGGACGTTATTCAGCCTCTAGATCAGGGTGGGCAATCCTGGTCCTTGAGGGCTGCTAATCAGCATGTTTTAGTTGTTTTTCTGCTCCAGCACACTTGGATGAATCACCTGTCCAGCAGCTCATCAGGCTCTGCAGCAACCTGTTAATCACCAGCAGAAACCAAGTGTGCTTAAGCAGAGAAACAACTAAAAACATGCTGATTAGCAGCCCTCGAGGACCAGGATTGCCCACTCGTGCTTAAGACTGTGTCGTTGAAGAAATTTTCCACTTTAAGCAACTTCAAGGCTAAAATAAATAAATAAGACAATACTCGAATCAATTTCCCTCTGGGATTAATAAAGTATTTTTGAATTGAATTGAAATGACCAGTTGTATAGTCACACCACTGTGGTGGAGTGCATTGCTGATAATTATATAAATATAAAAAATAAACTCTACAAAAATACTTCCTTTTATAGGAAAATTTTAATAGTTATTCAATGTTCTACATTTTACAGTAAATATACAATTACAAACTTGGCTTAGTTATAGTACTAAGATCACTAACTGATCTTTAAAAAAAACCTCAACAACAACAAAAATACATAAAAAAAAAAAAAAGAAAAAATGAAAACAGATTTACACTTCATATCACAAGCCTGACGCAGGTCCGTCACTCTGGACCAAATAGCTAACATACAATTCACTTCTCTCAACGCTGAACAGACGTTGGGCTTCAGTTTCAAACACAACCTTACGGTAACAGATATACCATAGCATGTGCAAACTGGGTACCAAACGAAAACTTCCAAAGATGGGGTTGTTCCTACCACTCGATCCGCTAGGAATACGAGTTTGTGTTGTTTGGAAGACGAGGAAATATATTTTTTTTTTCCACTTTTTGCATCACATTTAGTGTCAAATCAAACAAAGACAGGTCTCTGACAAGGAAAAAAAAGCTGCAGCAGAACATCAAAGACATTTAAGAGCCTACTATTCATTTTAATAGTAGTGTTGTAATTTTTACTGAAAAAAAAACAACAACTCTGCAACTGAAAGGCAAAAAAATAAAAATAAATAAAAAATTCTAAGAGAAAGAAGAGGGAAGAGTGGAATGAAAGCTTCAGGTCACGTTTTCACGGTTTAAGTGAAAATGTTCAAGATTAAATTACATTGAAGAAAAACAGAGGAAAGCAATTGTCTTTTAAACCTTTCCAGGTCTGGAAATGTTACAGAAGACAGGATGATGAATGAAGAGGAAAGAAGGATCAATGATTAAGACAACTTTGCACACAAACTTTCCTCCTTGAACACGTGAAGACGTGCAACGACCCATTTTCACTGAAGTAGAAACTGAACTACAAAAGCGACACTAAGAGAGGCAGTGAAACCCTCTTGCAAAGAAAATTCTGATTTTAAGGAGCCATTTTCTCTCCTCTTAGGTTCTGTGCATCTGCCTCTTTCTACAGGGGGAATTAAAGTTTAAGAGTGTTGGTCCACAGTCAAAAAACTCACAACTACAACAAATACACCAGTAGGAGTCTTGTATTTGTTGAGTTGAGTTTTCTGGAAATATGAATGATAAAGTTTCAGAATCTCCCCCCAAAATTCTCACTACTGAAAAGATGACACCCAATAAAATAAAAATGCTAATTAGACCAAGTTACTTTATAGTTTAGGCTCAAAGCCCTCAGGAGATGCCACTTCCAGACTTTGTCACCAGTGACATCTAGTGTTCGAAACAGGTCAGTGGACTATTTAAAATGCATTTAAATGATGTAGAATTCCACCATAAAATTTTTTTTAAATAAAGATCGTCATCTAATTTAACAAAACTGCTTTTCAAATGGAGTGAAAAGATCAGATTGACAGCACCGAAACAATAAAAAACTGTCAGAAAAGGGGAGGAGCCAAGAAGTGTAGAACAGAACATATGACCTGAGGTCATTTTGCATCCCCAAACTGGATCAGACTAAACGTCTGGGAGGAGGCAAAACGGCACAGATCGACATCGTATTCACACAATCAGATAAAAAGACAGGTCATGTGACCTAACGACAGGAGAAAGAAGACGGCAACAGGAAAACACAGAATTCACGTTAAGCAAGACAAAACAAGGACTCAGAGCTCATCAGTTATTTATAGGAAGAAACTAATATTTAATAAACGATTGGTGAAATATGGCACAGGAAATAAAAAAAGGAGGGAGGCGTGGAAACTAGGGGTTTTCCCGAGACATCACCTGATGCACTGAAGGAGCAGGAATGAACTGAAAAGTCTGTTTCTGCTGCGTCGCTCGTTCCCTGCCCGTAAATTCACACAAATGTGGGATTCTGATGACAAATTCCACGATTCCTCACATTATTTACAGACTTCTCCTCTCACAGTAAGAAGATATGCAGAGGACAGATGCAGAAGTAAAAATAAAGAATATTAAAAGCACAAACAGTAGCTGCCACACTGATGCAACCATGCGTAGCTAGAAATACATTACTGTACCACTTGCTGTTTAAATATACTGCATGTTTTCCTTTTATTCTTTTAAACCTAGAAATCCAATGCTATAGTGAAAGACACCTGAATATTTATGCATACCCATAATGCTCAACTGACCAAAGGGAGATAAGATAAAAAGAACAGATATAACGATTAAATCAAAAATACTGACAGAGTGGCTGGTTAAATAATCCTAATGTGGAGAAATGTCACAGCTGTCGCAGGAAAATCCTATTATAATTTTTTTTCTGTCAATTTAAAGCATTCGTTTAAAATATAAAAGAATCCCAACAGGTCTGGAACTTTTCATTCCTAATCCACCACTTCATTCATATAAAATACACGTAATTGTTTTTTTACCACGTCAAATATCGGTGGTTTTCCTCCGACAGCGGCTTAATGCAATAACTTGAACCTACTAGTGTACAAACATCTGGACTAAGAACGCCTTAACACTCAACCTTGTTTTATTTTAATTATGATACAAAGTCCTCGGTTTTTTGCACTACAAAGCCTAAGTACCTGTTCCTTAGCATTAAATCATAATAGTATAGTCAAGTGTTTATTTTTTTTATCTTATTTTGTGCAATATTTCCTCACAATGCTATTCAAACCCCCAAACTTCTGATATGTTCTTAACTTCTTAGCATGAATTATGGAAGGAAGGCTCTGTAAAACGCCTCCGGATCAGTATTTAGGTAATGCTAAAAGAATCTAGTCAGAATGCTGATAAAATAATGACCGTACGCTGAGCTGGAGGCATTACCTCTTTATTTATTGCAATAATCAAACCACCTCATCCACATTACCCGTGCAGTAAATGCTTAACGTAATACCAATCTGCATCCTACAGATCTTAAACGTTAATCTGGTTTTTCTTTGACTGTGTGTAAGATCTGAAAAATGCCACAGGCTGTGCCTAAACGTGGGATCCTGCTAGCCATCTCCGAACTCGCACCAAAATCTCCACCAAGAGAGCACCGATGAGCCCAAGTTGGATTGCAGAATCATTAAACTCCATGTCTTTTTTTTTTTGTTTAATTACAGTTTTATATTTTTGGACACATCTTACAATACTTTTGTTGTTCCGCTATTAAACTAAAATCTACTAATTTGACTTATTATTATCATTATAATTAAATCTCTTTTGTGTTTGATTATCAGTCCTCGCCCAGAGAAAAGGAGATTGAACGACAGTAGATTTAAAGTATTAATCATATAATGAATGTCCAAAACAAAAGCAGCGCCCGTGGTTTTGTCACCCCCTCCTCAGCTCTCCCTTTAAACGCCTTCTCTGCTCACTCTAGGCCACGCCCACCCCTAAAAATCCACGGTCGTGTTCGTGTTCCAACTGGAGGTTCTGTTCAGTAAGTGCCACTAAGTGTGTTTTGTCCCGCCACAAGAACCCAGGCGTGTGTGTATGTGTGCATGTTTTTGTTATTTTTTTAATTTTAGCATAATCACAATAACACATGAGCCAAACAAGTCTGAAATGTTCTCTAGCTAAAATTTGTCATGACATACCAGCCTGCATAGACTGTAGTCTGAAGGGGTTTCTTTAGTGCGTACTTGGTACAATGGGAAAACAGTAAGACACGAGGGTTAGGGTTAGCGAGCCGCCAAGACGGTTGGAGACATGCTGGAAGATGACCGAAATCAAAATGAAAAAAGAATGGATCAAATCAGGCAGGAAAAAGATGGAGAGCAAAGAAAAGCAAAAGTAAAAAAGGAGAAGTTGAAGCATTTTAGTGTTAAGTGTCAAAAAAAAAGAGCATAAAATCGTTGGAAACCTGTGCTGATATCTAGTTGTTAGAACATTTGGCAGCATTAGTCAATAGTCATTGTAGAGACTGATGGAGAGGATGATGATGACGAAGAAGTAAGTGCCCAATATTCTCCCACCAGCTGAGCCCAGCAGGCGGGACCACACACACACACACACCCACACACAGAGAAGCAGGAGCGACCGACACCCGCGGTTGGTCGAGAGTTCTTCTGGAGTTCCGATGACAGACGGCAAAGGAAAAAATAAAAAGTTACGAGGAATTCAAACATCTTTCAAAATAAAAGTAATGACTGGTTGGCAAATGAAAAGAGAAAAAACTAAAACAAAAGCAGCTTTTGTAAAAATATTAGAGAATGTCGCGTAATCACAATTATAGTAAAGTGGCTGTTGCACTTTAGTTTTGTTCTTGCAGACAGGTGCCGAGTTCTCGTGGTTACTGCTGGGAGCTCGTGTTACGTTTGAGCAGTTGCATACGATGGTGGACTCCAGATCTGGAGGGGAAAGGGGAACAATGGATTCAGAAGAAGGTAGAACTGTGAGGATGGACAACAGAAGAAGAGACAAGTGGAGGAGACATCTCCCAGGACAAACGCTCACATGATGGGTGGATTGGGCTCTACCAGTGAGGCGGTACGTAGCTGTAACCAGGTGTCCCTTGGGGCCTGTAGGTTGGCACGGTAACTGGGTGTGCTCCGATTTGGGCGTGCTGGGGCGTTGTCAGCAGGGTCCCTACACAGACACAACACCAGGAATGTGAACAGGGTTTATCATAACCATCTTACTATCTTAAACATGGCTGCTACACAGGTAATCTCTGGGTAGTATTAGTCCTACCTGCGCTCATGGCCATGGTTGTCCCGGCTACCATCCCCATGGCAGGCATGCCGTTGTTGCGGGGTGTAGGAACGGGGACGGGGGCAGGGTAGAGGGCCGTGGAGGGGATGCTGTTGGGCTGCACCACCGTGGTGTGATGGATCACATGTGGCTGAGCTGCGTACACTGGTTGGGTATAATACGCTCCCTGTCAGGAGAACAACACAAAGTTTTAATACTTCAGGTGTTGGACGGGGACGTTTTCATCTTTATAAATGTGCAGAAAACCTTCAACTCCAACACTATTAAAACACCTCTTTCTGCTAATCAGATGCCACCTGATCCACGGCTAGATAAAATAGAAGCACCGTTTCTTAGTTAACAAGATCAGTGAAAGCTAGAAGACTTCTGCTGCTCTAACCTTTGCAGGGTATATGCAGGAATCTCAGAATTAAATTTAAGACTTTTTCAAGACTTTTTAAGACCTTGTAAAAATAAAATGAAGACTATAACAAAGAACTAATCAACTGTTAAAACACTTATATATCGTTTTTAAATACTGCATCGCTTCGTTTTCACTTCATGTTGGGTTACGTCACATCCGGGACAGCGAGGCTGTAGCAATAATACGTAAAGTAATACGTAAAGTCAGGTGGTACAAAAATGCAAACCGCGCGCACTGAAGAACAAAATAAATATATTTTTAGTTTACATGCATCTATTTTTCATAGCCACGAACTGGGTAAAAAAAGTGACACCTAAATTAACTCCCCCTAAACAAGGTCCTCACGTGCTGCAGATGTGCATCTATTCTACAGTGGGTTTTGTAGTGACCTCTGACATTTATATACTTTTATTTTATTGACAATATTTAAAAAATAAATAAATTAAGTGATGTTTTTGCAAAATGCAAGCAATTTCTACCGGTCCTACTGTTCAAGAGAACTAAATATAATAAACTGAAATAACTAATCAGATAATGATTAGGAATCATCATATAATAATTAACTATTATTATGAAAATAATTCACAAAACACCAAACATTAAAACATCTGAAAATATTCCAAATGACTGTAATCATTCTTAAGTAGGATGTCCAGATCCAAACTCACCAAATGTGGGACAGAGACTGCTCACTGTGGGACGTGACGCTTCAATGTAACCAGATATAGTTCAAATGTTATTTTTTTAATCTATTCTGTCTTTTACCTCTAACATGACTGGTACATTTACATACAATTATTATATAATTGATGTCTTACATGTTCTATTTGAATTAAACTTGAACAAACAAACAGCAAAAGGTTTAATGCTGTTTCTCAGTTCCTCTGCAGTTACCACAGCTCAACTCAGGCTGGACCTTCTACTGTGGCTCGGAGTAACTTTAGCTACAGTTACTTTAAACAATCAACTGATTTCATAAATATAGACAGGCCCACTATAAAATAATGAAGGTTTAAGCAGCTTTTAAACGTTTTCACTGAATATTTGTGCTGGCTTTCCACAACAGAATGATGGTAAAAGTACCAGGAACATCTTTAGATCTATTTATGTTTATTTTCCACTAATAACATCTCATCGAGAACAGATCCATACTGTTTTGCAAGTTTTTCTTCTTGATTTCAAATCTCTTATATAACATGTAGGGAAGACGTGTCTAAAGGGTTTTAGCCTGTATGCACCTGAAACAACAACCACAGCACCTTGTCTGTCACAGTCTTCCTTAGGTTAGGTTGGACCTGTCTAATTACTGGGAAAGCTGTTTTTGACCAACACTTGAACTCACCCCCCCCCCCAAAAAAAAACTGACGTGTCTGGAGGGGATTTTGATGATTTTACGAACTTTAAGCTCCAGCCGCAGCGAGATGTTGAAGCGACAGTAGTGGTGGCACCGTGATACTGGCTACTGAAGCGTGTTTTTCCCTAGCTGTCTCCGTGACTGTGATCGGTCAAATGGCAACTCGTGACGCACTAAAAAAGATGGTTTGTGAAGAGGATGAACTCTCCTCATATTTCTGAAACTGATTCCTCCAAAGAGCGACTGAAATCCGACCAAAGACTCACCTTCCCTAAAACAAAAACTCTTTGATTCACGTGAACACATTTGGTTTCATAAACAGCAATTTTCGCTCAAAAGCGTCAAGTTTGCAAGTATGAGATGAACATATTTTAAAATCACGTCAATACGAACCAAATTTAAGACTTTACTAAATCGATTTATGACTTTTAAGGGTCTTAATTTTCCTTTCACCAAATTCAAGACTTTTAAGACTTTCTAAGACCCCGCGGATACCCTGCTTTGCGTGGGCCATGTGGAGTCACTGAATTTTAATGAACGAAGAAATGCCCACACCAACAAGGGAACGCTGGTTTACTGCTAACGCGCCTACCTGTGCGTAGATGTTCTGCTGAGGGTAGGCACTGCGGATGGGGTACATGGCTGTAGGGTACGGGGTGGGGGTGGGGGTGTAGGGAGGAGGTGCTCCATTTGACTGGGTGGGGGGCACTTTGTATGGGGTTCCTGCAGGAGTGTATCCTAAAAAGAAAAGAAAAGGCAGTTTTAATAAAACTCTTGTTTTTGAGCAGAAAACATGAGAAAACAATAGTAGAAAGAAACATGACTATTGTTATTAATGAGAACTATATCAGAAAAGGTGTCTTAATCATTCCATTTCACGCGTTTTCCTGGATAAAAACAGTAATATGCTGCATGCTGCGTCTTTAAGCAATAAAGGTGACAGAAATCAGATAAGATGCTGAACCTGCAGCGTCAGGTCATCACTGTCTGTCAGCTGCCACTACGAGTTCATCCTTCCCAGCAATCAGCAGTAACGTAACCTCCAGATTCTCAACGTTAGCTACTACTCCTATACCATAATCCATCATCACAACACTTAAGGGACTTCTGACGATAAATCCCAGCAAGTGTTAACTGTTTTATAAAAATAACTCAGAACTTAATGAAGTGAAATAATTAGAGGAGTGAGTGTGGTGCTTCAGCAGCAGTAAACATTTTTTCTACACTAGTCTGCATTTCCTGTAAAGCCCACCAGATGGGGACTGGTGCCGTCTTTAGAAGGGGATTTCAATAATAATAACAAAAAAAATCTAAGCCTGTTTTTCCCCTCTTTAAGTCTCATTCAGCAAGATTCAAACAGACGATTTGATTGCAGCACCTTTTTTCTTTGTGCTGAAATCTCCTTACACTTCCTGCAGCTTCTTTAAGAACACTAATCGGATTCAATTGTAAAGAACTCCAGATTGATTTCGCCACAAGCTCTACATCCACACAGCTGGAAGAAAGATGGTAGAGGAGAGTGAAGGCATTTGGTTTCATGTGTTTTTTGCCTCTGTGGGTTGCAGTACCTCTGAGCAGCCACCTGGAGGAGCCTGAAGGTCAAACATGCTACTAGCTAGCTGCTGCTGAGCTTATGAAAGCCCTTCTCTCACACAAGGACAAGGGAACAAAGAGATGCTGAGCTGCTCCCTGGCTAAAAGTCCATCTGTGCTTGTATGTTTGAGTATGTGTGTGCACATGCGTGCTTTAACATGCACGCAGGGCATTAAAGAACAATGGTGTTGACAATCACACAAAAGCCCTGCTGACAGAAAACAGTTTGTCTACGGTCTTGGAGAATTATGACCAAATCACATTCTAATCAGACCACAGCTGGGTTGTTAAGAGATTCATGTTTGTCTAGAAGGTGGAGAAAAAGGCCATTTTTAATGGATCTATATTTTACACTCCATGAAAAGCACAGAATGAAACTTGCAATCAAACAGCACGAGCTCAACAAAGAGGTTCAGGTTTCTGCTGGAACAAAGCAGAGCGAGCTGCGCTTAAGCAGAGCTGATATTTTCTTAGACGTCTCAAACATGAAACCCAACTGAGGGAGGGGGTGAGGAGGTGCAGCTTCAGAAGAGACGCAGATTACAATCTAACGCCCCTCCTGCTTCTGTCAGACACTCTAAACTCTACAGAATAGGAAACAATGGAAGTAGTCTCATTACTCCTGTTAATAAAATGCTATCTTCAAGCTTATATTAGATTGTTCACAGACAATTTGTTCTCCTTCTTAATAATATGACTGTAATAGATAAAATACACCATTTTATACAAAAAGGTCAGAAATCCTGAACTCAAACCAAACGTTTGAGTAGTATTAAAATACTACATCTCACATTTCCTCCTTGAGTTTTTATAAACCATGCTCCTGTGTGTACTCAGATTTAATAATGATATTTAAACATTAATCTGTATCACGTAGGCTCTTCCTTAATCCTCACTGCCATACAATTAAACAACAATCAGAATGATCCTGGACAGAAATTTATCCTTCTGCAGTTTTCAAATGATAAAACACTGCCCCCCAAATCTGCTTCAGGCACCAGACAGTGAACCCCAGCAGAAATGCATCTGCAGCTATACAGCCACTGACAGCTGCTGATCACTAAACACACACAGTGCGTTTACATACTTATCTTAATTTACATGTACGTTAGAAAACCAAGCTCTCAAATGAAGTTTGTTCCACTCCAGTACCGTAGGTGGCGACATGTGCCCTTTTGTGTCGGCATTCTTTCAGTTAGCTCATAGCAACACAAATAGTAAACAAACACTGGCAGAAATGAAGCAGATGAAAAATAAAAAAATAAAAAGTCGGCCTATTTAGGGCTAAAAGTTCAGTTTTCTGATGTGCATGTAAATACACTGATTAAAAAGTTTTTAACACTTTAAGCTATTGTTTTCAAACTGGTTTAGGTGATTCTTGAGCCATAAACTTGAGCAACTTCACATTAGACAGCAATCTGTCACCCTTTGATGACCAGAAACTGCACTTTACAATTTTGTGGTTTGGGTAAGAACAGTAGTGGGAGGTCTCTTCCATGCTTTATAGCTGTTTACTCTGCCAGTAGCTCATATAATTGCTAGCAATTAGCTTGCTGGTGACAATTCTTACAAATTAACTCTCAGGTGGAGCATCAAAGCTTCTGCTTTAATGTCATGCCTGATACTAAAAACTTTATTGTTAGTGAAAAAAGGGGACACACAACAATACAACAGTAGCTAAATATCATGAGGAAATATAAAATCAACATTGTTTTGCTGAACAATCACGCGATAATAAATCACAGTGCATTTAGTGTCAACCACAGCCTTAAGACATGTGTTGAAAATGCCCAAATCCATACTTATGAGAGCACCATGTGAGCACCTGTGTGCGTTCACGTGCTTGAATATGTAAGGTTTCTCTGTAGGAGCGTCCAATTGCAGGCCATCAATTAAACGCATAAGAAGAATTTTGTCGTTTTTGTTGGCATCATGGCTAGGGGTGGGAATGAAAAACATTTCTTCCGTGAATGTTTAGCTTCCGTATATCTCCTGTGGAGGGGTGGAGGTGGGATTTCAGCCGTGGCACCCATTTGTTTGAGGAAGCTGAAGGAGGCTATGAACTCACGGACTGATGGTGACCTGGCTTTGTTGCTACTGGACTAAGTAATAATAATATTTAGTCAGCAGTGTGGTTCATTTTACTTTGTTGCTTATTGAAAATCAGTTGGCTCGTGTTCGTGTTAGCGCTAGCTAAAGTAGGCTGCGGCAGGGTTGTTTATGACAGTTGTAATTCTACTTTCAACCAGTAGAACGGAGGAGCGGAAAACTTAAGTAGCAGTACTTTAACTCACTTAATGTTGTATTTTGGTAGAATTTTGTCAATACTCATGATTTATTTTAAATATATTATAAGTGCAGATGACATATTTCATGTGAAAAAATTTGTGTTAAAATGATAAAAACTCATTTACATTAAAGTATGTTCTCATACTGACTTTGGTCATACAAAACACATATTCATGTGGTTTAACAGTAAGGAAAAAAAAATCAACCGTGACATCTTTTGCACAGAATTTGTCTTCGTTTCTTTAACAGAACAAGTATCGGCATATTGGTGTGTGAGAGCTCACCTGGCGGATACCCAGGACTTCCCGTTTGATAAAGGTTGGGAGTGTAGGTGGGAGCTGTGGCCGGATAAGCTCCTGGATAGCCTGTAAGAGGTTAAAAGCGTTAACAGAAGTTTCATTGACAGAGAGAACATCAACACATGCATGCACATGAGGCAGTATTTGGTTTGAAGCAGGATGTGCACAGATGGCACTCATTAGAAAAATGTCTGCAGCAATAACAGTCGGCTGAATGTGTCTTGCATCCACAGATTTGGCAGACCAGACACACCTGCCAATATGCTGTGGGAGGAGATAAATTCAGAAACATTAGCAATGCATAAAAATACACGAAGGGGGTACACACACACACACACACACACACACACACACACACACACACACACACACACACACACACACACACACACACACACACACACACACACACACACACACACACACACACACTTGTGTGCGTCATGAATCACACGTCAGGGGGAAACAAAGATGTTCTGACCTGAGGAAACACTCTTATATGCTGTGGAGTTTTAACACAAAGAAGCAGCAAGAGATGAAGAAAAACAGGTGCAGACTGGAGGAAAAGAGGAGAAGCAAGGAAAAGGCAGCTCTCCATGTTTGCCATTATTGACCCACAGCCTCACAGATGAACTGTTTAATGGCTTCTTCTACCCTTTGCTTTATGCAGGTTCAGCTGCTGTATGCTCATCTACAAGTCAGAGGTAGCAGGTCTTTTACATATCAGTATTAAGACAGCAAAAGGAAGCCAAGATGATTCAACATGTTTATGGCCGTTTATTTAGAAGATCTTGATGTTCCAGCATTCAGTTTCATGTATTTTTAGTCTCACTTTGCACAAAAGTGTTGCTGAATCAAACAACCTTCAGCAGACATGTAGATACAACCCCATTCTGGCGTGTGCAACAATAAAACTCTCAATTAGCATTTATATTATTGTATTAATTATACGCCAACTAACAGAGAATGAACATCAGTTTTGACTCAACTTTCTTCCCATTTTGGAATATTTGGATTAAAAATAATAAGTGCAACTCTTTTACTTTGTTATATTTTAATTATTTAAAAAGTTGTTCATTTAAAAATACTTTTTAAATTATTTGTACTCAAGACTGTTAACGTATGAAGGAAAGATCAACTATGAAACTCAGATTAAACCAAAGTGTTGAGTAGTTTGGGTGCTGAGGTTTGAAAATGTGGCTGGTTCAGATTAGTGGGGAAAATCCTGTATTATAGACCCTAACTCGAGTAGGGTTACGCACCGTTTGATTTTGAACGATTCCGATTCCAATTCCTTGTTTCGATTCCGGTTCCTATCGATTCCCGATTGCGATTCTTTCAAGACATGACATGTTTTACATGAGCTAGCTAACCACAGGTCCTACTTCATGAAATAATCTTAACTTTAACATGAATTTTAATTCTATGAACAATAACATCACCTTCATTTAGGCAAAAACATGTTTTGGAGAAAAAAAGAAAAAGACTTGCAGCACAACCAGTGTGTTTTTTTCTGACCACAACCAAAGTCTGGAAGCAGCCTCTGGGATGAGAGGCTAAATGTCTCCAACATATCCAGAAACGTCCAGCTGTTTTCAGCTAAAACTCTCAGGATGATCATGTCCAGGATGACTGAGAACTACACCTCCATGTGCAGCAGCCATTCAGTCAGAACAGAAAGTGAAACTTAAATGTAGCTGCTTTCAGTAACAATTAACAGATTTTAAACATTAAAACTCTACAGAAATAATTTAGAAAGGAAATAAAACATGTTATTTATTATTACTGGTGTAGCCCAGGCAAAGTTTAGCTTAAGCTAAGTAAGATTGTGTCAACATTTGGACATGTTATGTAAATATGAATAAATAGGAGTAGGAAAGGAAAAACACTACAACATTAGAACTATTAATAAAAACCCAATAAAAAAAAAGGTTAAGTATAAAACTGCATATTAGTCACCACTTATATGAAATACAGACAATTATTGGTATCGCTTGTTTCCTCAGGTAATAGTTTTCCATAAATATATCGAGCTCAGGGCCCCGTCCGCTATACTAGAACCAAAGTCGTGTTATTCTGGCTACGGAACGGGTGTTACACAAATGGAGGCACTGCTGGGATAAATCAAAAGATATGTAATTAAATTTTCCCATTTACATTTAACTGAGAAAGTAATATTTTAGTTGTGCCCAAGTTAATTTCAGTGTTTGCCTCAAGTGATTATACACACACACACACACACACACACACACACACACACACACATACGTTTTTTTATTTTTTTATTTGTTGGTAGTTTATGACAAGAAGCAAAATGAGTGGCGATCCGCAAACTGAGTAAAAAAATTGGTGTCGGGGAGAGGGAATTAACATTTCCCGTGCGCTGATGGTGTATGGGGTTCATGAAGATGAAGATGAATGTTGAAAAAACACTTGAGACTATTAAAATCTTGGGCATAGTGAGAGTTTGAGGCAGAATGTTCCAGAGTGAACAACAAACGTTGACAGTTTTGTGTGAGTGTCGTGAAAATATTGATTCCTCACGAATTCCAACTGAAATAGTTGCACCAAGAGGAGAAACTTGGACATTAGTGATAGAACAGAAAGATGTTTATCCTGATGACTTTGCAGTCAAACAAAAAAAAAATTCTGGAGGAAGAAGGAAAAACAGTGGGTGACCTACAGAAATTGTATGAGTCCAATGCCCAAATAGACACTCACACAGAAACGATCATTCGAGCTGTGGGAGAAGTACTACAGCACACCCATAAAAGCTTAGATAAAAATGCCTACCGTCGTTTAAGAACATTTTCAGGAGTAAGCCCAACTCCACCTGGTGAAGAGTACTTAGACCATTGGCTGGAACAAGCTAGCATGGCTGAAGAGTGTGAATGCTCAAATGAAGAGGAAAGAAGACAAATTGTCAAGAGTCTGAAAGGTCCCACGTTGGAGATCATACAAGCAGTTCGAATGTCGAATCCTGAAGTTAGTCATTCAGAGTACATTCAGGCAATAGAGAACACGTTTGGATCCTGTGAATCAGGAGAAGAGCTATACCTCTCGTTCAGATCACTATACCAGAATACTGGTGAGCGTTTATCTGAATTTCTACTGAGATTGGAGAGATCACTCAACAAAGTTGTGCAAAAAGGAGGGCTACCAGCTAACTCTGCAGAAAATGCTAGTCTGGAGCAGCTCATTAAAGGGGCCACTGAGTCAGATCCCATGCTTCTTCAGCTGAACTTGAGAGGCAAACGTGACAGTCCGCCACCATTTTTGAGTCTCCTGAAAGAGATAAGAGAGGAAGAAGGCAGAGAAGAGGCTAGACAAAGTCAAAAGAAACTTGCACCTCGATAGTTTGTGCGTGCAGTGACCACAGATAAAACAGCAAGAGCCTCAAACAACCGATCTTCAAAGTGAAATTCAAGAACTCAAAGACAAGTTAAAGAAACACATGAATAAAACAGCTGAGACTGTTGTTGAACCAAAGCATTACAACGGGTCCAAAGAAAAGAAGAAAATCAAAAGTGAAACGAGTGAAGTACAGTCTTAAAGAAAAGAGGTCCAAGCATTGCAGCAGCAGCTGAATGTTATGGTTGTAAATTCTAACCCCAAAGGCGACAATGAATGGTACAAAGTTAGAGTAGACGTATGTCACAAACCTGCTCATTTTAAAACACATCCTGCAAAGACTGCCAGTGATTTTTTTCTGTTACAGATGTGGAGAGAACAGGCATATTTCATCAAAATGTACTGCTACAGAAAACTCACAAAAAGTAATCCAAAAGTTGATTCAACAAGTGAGGGGAACCCCAGAAGATACAAAAGAGTGTGCAAGGGTCCAGGAAGAGCATGTAGCTACTGTAAACACAGCACATGTCCCAGCAAAAGGTCCCAATTTACCTGAGGGGCTAGTTGGACCCTCATCTGTAGCTCCCATTAAAATAAATGACATCCCATGTGACGCACTGATGGACTCTGGATCCACAGTGAATATCATTTTTGAGGACTGGCATAATGCACATTTATTCAGTATTCCGGTCCACCCCATTTCAAGCCTTGCTCTGTGGGGATTGTCTACGGCAGCATACCCTTACCAAGGGTATATTGTGGTGGAAATGGAGTTTCCAGAGGAGCTGGAGGGAGTAAAGGGGCCCATCAACATACTTGCCCTCATCTGCCCTGAACCACCATATGGACATGAGACTTCAGTTGTGGTGGGGACCAATGCTTTCCTTTTCCACCGATTGTTTCAGCTTTCAAAAGAAAGTGGTAATGACTATAAAATACAGTCCCTTAGAGTGCAAGCTATGTATGAACAGATACAGGCCCAAAGCCAGCAGGACAGGACAGAAGGCGAAATAATGGGTCTATTAAAGTGGCAAGGTACTGGGGAGCTTTCTTTGCTTCCTGGAGAGAAGTGCTATGCCAAGTGTAAAGTGGAGCACACTGCATCCAGCCCACAAGAGCTTATTTTGGTGAAAGTTCCTGTTTGGTCTCAACTTCCCACTGGAGTGTTGGTGCAGCCAATTGTCCTTACTGAAAGTGCTATTAACACCAACTGTTTCACTGTGCTCTTGCAAAATGAAACCAAGAAGCCAACTTCCATACAGTTAGGCACCAGTGTTGCTGAAATGCATGCAGTTGAAGCAGTTGTCCTGCCTGAGGTACTTAACTCACCAGTCAACACAATTGGTCCAGAGTTATTTGATTTTGGAGAATCACCCATACCTGAAGAGTGGAAAACCAGATTTTGTAGTGAACTATCAAAGAGACGGAAAGTTTTTTTCGCTAAATGATTGGGCCATGGGATTGGCAACTGGCGTTGAACACAACATTTGCTTACACGAATCCACTCCTTTTTGTGAGAGATTTCAACGTCTGGCACCAGCTGATATTGAGGATGTAAGAAAACACAGCAGCTTCAATATAATGGCATTATCAAAGAATCCCGCAGCCCATTCACCTCACCCATCGTGGTGGTGTGTAAAAAGAGTGGAGCTGTCAGGATATGCATTGACTATTGGACTTTGAACCAGTGCACTATACCGGATCAGTATACTATT